CTCTCTCTCTCTCTCTCTCTCGCTATATATATATATATATATATATATATATATAGATGGAGGGCAAAATTATTCTTATTTTTAATTTTTATTCAATTTCAAAAGATGTACATTATAGTTTTAGTTTAGGGTTTTTAAATTTTTTAAGGATTCTGGGTTTTTTTATATTTTTTATTTACTTCATAGGTACTATTCACAAGTACTGCTACTACTATGCTCATGGGTATTGTTTACAAGGATAAAACTGTTATTACAAATTTTAAGTTTAAGTTAGGATATATGGGTCAATGTATTATTTGTTTGGATACTTTTTGTACTTGAAATATTAAATAATACTACAAAAAGGTGCGTGGGCCTAGGCGAAGGCAGTCACGTGATTTCTAGAATTAAGAAAAAAGTAAAGCTCGGGCTTTTGCAACCCCCCCAGCTTGGAGCTTAGGGTTTCTTCAGCAACAAGGCCAAGGAACTATAACCAAATTTAGGGTTGCTGATTTTGGCCCAAGTTTTGCCAAGTTAGCCTAGATTTTGCTGATTTCAGCAGGTTTTTGTTGATCATATGCTTAGGATTTGTGATTCCAACAAATCCATGACGACAAGAAGGGACCGTGGTCCATTTTATGATACCATAAGTGCCAGAATTGAAGAACTCGAAAGGCAAGTTCAGCAGCTGACACAGCAGTTGGCGAGCCTTAATAATGAGCAAGAAAGTGATCTCTCATCCTAAGAGAATCTCGAATACAAGCAATTTCACTTTTGCTCGAGTGATGAAGATGGTGACAGAAGACTTAGATCTGGGGAACATCATTTGAGGGTTTTCAATTTGAAGGACGAGATTCTTGATTTTGACACAGATTGCATAAAAAATCAGCAATTCGTAGATTGAGATTCACCACCAATCTTTGATACGTACTCCGAAGAACAAGAAGATCGTTTAAGGGATTCGATCTATGATAAGGATCAAGATGATGATGAAGAGATTTTAGAAGAGGGCGAAGAATTGGAGAGAAGGTAGCAGGAAGACTTATCCAAATCATGGCTTTTGAAGATCTCATTAATATCGAGGAGATAGAGCATTCAAGAAATTTAGGGTATTGGAACCAGAGTAGTGCAAAAGGGAAACTAAGTGGAAAGGGGGAAAATGTAAAGAAATAGATGGGTATAAACTTTGGTACATAGGAAAGGATAATAATAGAAATTATCTAGGTATATAATAAACAAATATTTAAAAAATAAAGTAGTTAATGTCAAGAGAATATGTGATTGGCTCCTATTAATTAAACTTGTATTAGGGGAAGAGATAATTAATATAATTAGTGCCCATGCACCACAAGTGGGATTTGAGGATAGAATTAATAGACAATTCTAGGAGGACATGGATGGATTAGTTCAAGACATACTAAATGGAGAAAGGACCTTTTTAGGAAGCGACTTAAGTAGTCATGTAGGGAAGGATAATAGAGGATATGAAGGGGCTCATGTGGATATGGGTTTGGTGAAAGCAATGAGATGGATGAGTGATGCAGATCAAAATTTGGATGCTACAAATTTTAAATTTTATTCCTAACGCAGTAAAAAATTTACCAGCAAACAACACTGGCAAAGATAACCGTTTTAGAGAGAGAAGTAAAATTCCAGAAGGGAATCACAAGAAGAAAGAACAAAACGCACAAATCCAAGTATCCCGCAACGGGCCCATAAACAAAAGAGAAGAAACAACACCCACAAAGGGGCCTCTCTCTCTCTCTCTCTCCATGATCTCAAAGATCACCTTTTTTCATTAACAAAATTCAATTCCCAATTACATTGTACCCTTTTATAAGGGTTCCTTTCCAAACCTTTCTAAAAAAGATAGTCTTCCTTATCTAATAAGCTAATACTATACTCAAATAAATTTTATCCCTAAAAAAGCTAACTATTACCTCTTCACATAAAAATAAAAACCGTAGAGATAAAAAATCTTTTATCCCTCAACTAATAAAGAGATAAGCATCTTTAAAGCTAAAACCGATAGCGTCCTATTTTCCTAAAAAAAAACTATGCAAAAGAATGAATCTAAGAAAAGACTTATACTTTAAAAAAAACGCAGTAGCCTAAAATAAATAGACTTTATCAAACTAACCTAAAAACTATTAAATCCTCTTTCTAAACATCAATCCTAATAGATAAAAATATAAATTCTACTCAACCTCTAAAAATAAAAT